ATTGTGGTTTATATTGAACTAAGTTCAATCTTGCAAGAATGAAATCCACGATTCACTCTTAAGAAATTGTATTTTACACGTTTGAAAATTATCAGTTTCTCTTATCGAGAAGTTATGAGGAAAGTATACTTTAAATAAGTCTTTAAAACACAATTTTTCATTTAATAATAGCAATGATTAAGAATATCTATAATACATTCTAATATTAAATTTATTATTAATTATTATTAATATTAAAAGTCATGTAAAATTAAAATTTTATGCAATTTATTTCATGTATGTTGTTATTACTTTCAGCTATTCTTTGCACAAAACACAGTTTTGAAGAAAATATTTTCCAAGTTTATAAGAAAAATTGAAATTTTATGCAATTTATTTCATGTATGTTGTTATTACTTTCAGTTATTCTTTGCACAAAACACAGTATTGAAGAAAATATTTTCCAAGTTTCTAAGAAAAATTGAATGTTAGATACACTGCTTTACTTACATCAGTGATCTTCGTTTCAAAAGAAGAAAAAGGTCTACTGCAAGGATAGGAAAAGAAAATTCATGAAGACATAAAGACATTTAAAAAATATTTTACAGAAATTGTTTAGGCTACTTTAATATGTCATCCCTGATCAGCTGTTGTTGAAAATATTAATAGCATAATATATTTATAAACTAATTTTATCATCTCTAAAATTATTTTTGTGTGTGTTTTGATAGAGAAATGTTATTTTAAATATAAAAATGATTATTGAATTAAATATTATTATTAATTTAACTATTCTTCTTATTTAAGAAACTTTTTATTATATCGATAAAATATTATTTATAAAAAATTTTTTAATTGCAGGAAAAAGGAACCAAAAGAAATTTTCGTGTAAACGCTGTAAGAAGAACTTCACAGCTAAACAAAGTTTGCAAATTCATGAAAGAATCCATACAGGAGAAAAGCCTTACACTTGTGACGAGTGTAAACAGAAATTTACACAAAAGTCAACCTTAATAACACACCTCCGAAAAAACACTGGAGAGAAGTCTTACTGTTGTGACGAGTGTAAAGAAAAGTTCACAACTAAACAAAATATGGAAACTCATAAAAAAATTCATACAGGAGAAAAGCCTTACACTTGTGACGAGTGTAAAAAGAAATTTACAAAAAGATCAACCTTAATAACACACTTCCGAACACACACTGGAGAAAAGCCTTACAGTTGTGACCAGTGTAAAAAGAAGTTTGCAGACAAGTCAAACTTAATTAAAGACCTTAACGCCCAATCCCGAGTATACTCGGGCAAATTTAAATAATCGTACGTAACTCCACGTTGGTCGAAATAATTCAAATAAAGTTAATTTACATTCTATTGGATGTTGTTGATGATCTCAGCAAGTTTCGTAATTTTACACGTAACAGAAGTTTATTTTTTGACCATTTTTTTGGTCCCTATCTATAGAGATAGTATATCGAATGGAAAAATTCGTCATGTATTTGAGTGTTTACGGTAACTGATGCAGATCTGTCTACAAACCGGTCTTCCCCTGCGATTTGTATGAGAATATTCCGCGAATGCCTATAAACAGCTGTTCTCAAGGACATTACGCTAACTACACCGAACAGCGGCGCGTGTCACGTGATCCGTCGCGATTTTTTTTTATTTAAAGACAATTCGTTTTTAAANGAATTCATACAGGAGAAAAGCCTTACACTTGTGATGAGTGTAAACAGAAGTTTACACGAAAGTCAACCTTAATAACCCACCTTCAAAAACACACTGGAGAAAAGCTTTACTGTTGTGACCAGTGTAAACAGAAGTTCACAACTAAACAAAATATGGAAAATCATAAAAAAATTCATACAGGAGAAAAGCCCTACAGTTGTGATGAGTGTGAACAGAGCTTTACAACTAAACAAAGTTTGCAAACTCATGAAAGAATCCATACAGGAGAAAAGCCTTACACTTGTGATGAGTGTAAACAGAAATTTACACAAAGGTCCAATTTAATTACACACCTCCGAATTCATACAGGAGAAAAGCCTTACACTTGTGATGAGTGTAAACAGAAGTTTACACGAAAGTCAACCTTAATAACCCACCTTCAAAAACACACTGGAGAAAAGCTTTACTGTTGTGACCAGTGTAAGCAGAAGTTCACAACTAAACAAAATATGGAAAATCATAAAAAAATTCATACAGGAGAAAAGCCTTACACTTGTGACGAGTGTAAACAGAAGTTCACACAAAAGGCAAACTTAATTAGACATCTTTCGATCCACAATAAACAAAAGTAACATTGAACGTTAATTATGATCAGCGAAATTCGTTTGAAAGCACGATCCAAAAATACATTATAATATTCACACTTAGAAATTTTGAAGGAATATTATTTTTAATTTCTATTGATGTAGAATGATCGAAAGATGTAAGCAAAACTGGTTGTAAATGAAAATTTGTTTTTCTAATTTCTAAGAAGTTTTAACTAACAAACATTTCAATATTCATATTCAAATGTAGCTCTTTTCGAATTTTGTAATTATATTTCAAATGGTAACAGCTCTGTATCTCGATATTTTTAAACAAAATTTAATATTTTCTGAAATTTTGAAATTGCAATTTTCTGTTTGAACATAGAAAACAGAGTTCATGTAGAAGTTTGTTCAAAACAGATTTCGTTATTTTTAATTCACATTATTACAACTTCATATTAATACCCGAATTGTTAATATATAATTAAAATGTCTTTATGTAAAACTTTTTTGAATAAAAAGTTGTTGCATCGATACTTGCTTGTATTAATTATAGTTCAAGTTAATTTATTCGATCAGTAATTTGGAGAGTGCATATTTTGCTGTAATTCATAATACAGGAAATCCTCGTATATTCGAACATTATGAGCACGTCCAAAATTTGCCTCATTTTTTGACAGATAAACATTGTCGTGTTTTAGTAATTTTTTTTCTTTATAACCCATTTTTTAAATCTGATACGAAAACATTTTGTGCAATAAATCAATTTAAATTTTTTGGATTGCAATTTGAAAACATTGTAGACCAATAAATTCTCACTGTTCTCTGTCTTAATCTCGAAAACAGTGTCAGATAATATAGATGTAAGTCAAGACCAGATATGAGAAGCTTAGTGGCAGAAGAATCCGATAAACTATAACTGACCTTCGCTTTCACGTCATTTCAATTGAAAAATTTTATCCACAACGAAGTCAGTCAGACAACCCACAGGACTCAATCGTTATCTGGAAAAATATGATGCACATCAGCAAGACGCTACTAAAATCGAGAGCATATATTTTAAATTGATTAAAAATTGCAACTCGACATTGTGACGATAATTTTTGCTCGTTTTTATTAACGTCTAGTCCCGAGTTACTTCGGGCATGTTACATAGCGTTACAAAAAATGAGGTCATTTCGACTTTCCCAAAAGTTTTTTGTTTTTGATTTTTGGAATGTTTTTTAAGTCTCGAAATTCTATCAAAAATTTTTACCCGCGCAAAAAAATTTTATCGCGATTTTAATTAGTCTTTGATAAGGTTCGATTAAGGCTTAATTGTTTTTTAATGAGATTTTTGTATTAAAATTAATTAAGCGTTCTAAAGTTGTAGTGCATGGATTTGACTTCGGTAAAGTTATTTAAAGCTACTTTCTGATGTCAAAAATGACCTCCGATAGTTTTTTACTTTTTTAATCAATAGATTTTATTATATATAAATGTAATTAATTTAGGGGGGTCGGAAATCGCAATAAAGTTTTAATTTTTTAAAAATATAGGTCTAATTAGCAATAGGTCTAAAACCCTACTTTAAACCCTTGTCCTCCCGAGACGTCTATGAGAATGTCCCGGGAAATCCGACTCCAGCTGTTCTCAAGGTCATCCAGCTGTGTAAACAATGACTCATCAGTGTCAAATTTCACAGAAAGGCGAGACANCTCGTCTATGAGAATGTCCCGGGAAATCCGACTCCAGCTGTTCTCAAGGTCATCCAGCTGTGTAAACAATGACTCATCAGTGTCAAATTTCACAGAAAGGCGAGAGAAAGGAAAATAAAATTTGAAGCTTTTTCTTCAAAATTAGCGCATTTCTCTTTTGTTTTTTTTAGTTTAAAGTATTTTTTATGCTTAATTACATTATAATTCATAACAGGTGGGCGTTAAGAGGTTAATATACAGTGGGTGACGGATATATATAGACTGTGTATATATGTACTGTATTTCTATTATTACATATAAATAAACGTAGTAAGAAAGTATATATTTTTTATTTTGTGGGTCTCCAGAACAAATTAATTAAATTCTCATAAAAACTTATGGTAAATTGATAATCAGTTAACGAACAATTCGGATAGCGAACAAAGTCTTAGAACAGATTATGTTCATTAACCGATCACCCACTGTACTAGCAAATAAGCCCGGCGTTGATCGAGCAAAAAGTAATGGTAACAAAAATTAAGAATATTAGATTATAGCCGATCTTATCCGTTTTCAGCGGATGCAAGAATTAGGTTCTTCCTCCTCCCAGAGTGACTGGAGGATTTTTAGATGAATCTAAAAATATGTCCAATTTTTTGCAAAAATGCAAAAATCCGCATCTAAAATAGTGCAGGAGCAAATCGTTCAATACAGAAACGTACCCATTAACAAGAAATTTATTTTACGTCTTTAACTATCCGAAAGGAGCCGTCCATAAATTACATAACGTATTTTGGGGTTGGTGGGAATCAAGGATTTCTTACGATTTCTTACTCGGATAGGGGGATAATAGATCTCGTCTTATGTAATATTCTTATTTTTTGATCTAGTTGAGTGGTGGAGTTTTGAATTTGGCTTTCAAATTCAAAACTTCTGTGCATCATATTTTTCCTGATAACAATCGAGTCATGTCAGTCGTCTATCTAATTGTTCTGGATAAAATTTTTTAATTGAAATTACGCAACTTCCGATCCATACTGAAGTTCGTATACAAGTCTCCTGGGCTCCTGTCCCTAAGCTTTTCATAACTGTTCATCTGTTGACTGCGTACTCAAGATTAAGGAAGTACAGACAGTGGGAATTTATCAGGGCTGTGGAGTCGGAGTCATCAAAAAATCCGCCGACTCTCCTTTTTACTTACCAACTTGTTATGTATATAAAATGGAAAAGTATTGGAATCCTGTCAAATTTGACCCTCCAAGTNTAATTCCAGTAAGGAGAAAAATGGTACGAAATTCATATTACGCGAATTTCAAACATTTTTCTCTTAATACATATCGCAGAGAATTCGCACAGCAAATAACAAAGTCAGACAATAGTTGAACTTTGTCATTTGTTTTTTTTTGTTAAATTAATCCAATGAGCATTAAAATCCTAAACCATGTAATGGTTTATTTCTATTTTGGTACGATCGATTGCTATTTTTTTCTTTTTGTTTTTGTATTTTAACCTAATATATTAGGTGAAATGGATAAGCAATAGTGAAAAATTAATTGAACTATACTTATAGAAAGAACAACTGTAAATGTTAAATTCAAAATTATAATCGTATGAAAGAAATTTCCGTCTGTTCAACTTGTAAACAGTTTGACGTCAGCGGTAATTATCGAAACGATTTTTTTATCGTATAATGTAAACCGGCCTTGAATTGGAGCAGTCTATTTTTTCGTTTTCGCTTTCGTCTCCTTTTCAAATAAGCTGTAAACGAAAGTGTACAAATTAAATAACGTAGAAAATACTTCCTCGTATCTGTTCTTCATATTTTAAGAATAACACCATTTTCCATATTTACTAATATACTGTACAGTAAATGTATTTGTAGATATCAATGTATTTATAAAAATAGATCTGTACTTGAATATCACTTGAATAATATTTATGTTTAATTTGAAAATTATTTTTTAAATATTTCCTAAATGTATTTATTCACAAAAATTATTACAAATTTTAAATATACGGAACTTAACTGAAATTCTTTTAGTGGAAATGAATAATCTATTTTTTTTAAAATTAATAAATAACACAGCATATAAATTATACATACGTATGTCGTGATTATAAACAATTTAAATTGATAATAAGTATAATAATAATAATAATAATAATAACTCTTGCTTGTCATCGCCTTGCCAAGGTTAAGTTTTTGTGGTATTTTTGTGTTAACTTATCATGTAGTGTTTGTTTGTACGTTGTCATCCTGTTTCGAGTTTTGTAATGGTGTAGTGGATACGGATTATGAATTCATTCATTTCTTAAGTCCATCCACTGGCATGGTTTTCCGACCTTAGAAATCTGTCCCTGGATTGCCACTGAAGTATTTTGGCTGAGTTAGTATGTGTTGCTTATCATGAATAGGTGAGATGGCGAATGTTTGTGTTGCAGTAGCCATACTTGGGTCAGTGCTGTGTTCGGTATTGATGGACAAGGAAAACTGTAGCAGATTTTTCGAACGTGGGCCTCTGCCTAACCCACTGCTCAAGCATTGTTAATCTATTAAAAATGTACAGTCGACCCCCCCATAACACGGGTTCCTATAGTTCGGATTCCTATATGACGGCGAAAAAATTGCGACGGTATCCGTACAAACATGATAAAAAACTCCTATAATTCAGTAAAACGTCATCGGGCAGCCGAACTACTTTCTGCCATCCAGCACCATACTACGGAGAGTTTAGGCGAGTAAGTTGAGTTTACTATTGTCTGTACAGTATGTAAATTAGGTACCGTAAGTCTAATACAGTACTGTAATTTTATATATTTCTTGTGAAAGAAACATTTCTTATTCAATGGCCATAAAAATTATTTATATTAATGATGTCTCCAAAGTTCAACGAAGTTTTCACACAAAAATAACTTATCAGAAATCGCAGCCGCCATTTGATGCGCTGCTCCACAACGAAAACAAGCTTGAGCAATGGCAATGTTTAACGGGGCACACTCGATAAGTAATCCTACAATTTTTTGTTTATAGCATAGTTAATACGAATTATTTTTGAAAAAATTATACATATTTTGGAAATGTTGAGTTGAATTAGTCTAGAATCGATTAATTTTAGGGAAGAAAACCTTTCAAACAGCCGTAGTCTGTAAACTTCACACGTGTCAGGCTGTGATTGGCAAGGTCTCCTAAAACATCAATTTCATAAAAAACGGAACATATCTACCGTGTTATAGGGGGGTAGACTGTATACATGATGTCTGGCAAGCTATCGGCAAGAAAACAGTACAGCAAGAGTGCTGACACCTCGCAAAGAATGCTGAAAATGAGGAAAGGGAATACAATCCACCAAGCTTTCCATATCTGGTCTTGACTTACATCTATATCTTACACCGTTCTCAATATTAAGGAAAGATAGACAACAGCAGGAACTGCCGGATGGCCGAGTAGTCACGGTGACAGCCTAGGGTGGGGGACCTGGGATCAAATCCGAACGTGTCGAAAGGTTCCCAGGAGTTTTATGGGGGTGGTCCTTCCGGATATGTCGGGGTCTCCTTACCATCCGCCTGCGTCATTGTGGGCCTGGCCAAACTCATAATGGGTTTGCTATAAGAGGCCCTCTTAGTGTCCACAGGCCGGAAAGTTTTAAAAAATAAGATGACAGGTAGGAATTTATAGATGTATGACTTTTTTTCAAATTGCAGCTCAAAAAAATTTAAATTGACTTATTGCATAAAATTTTTTCGTATCAGGTGTAATAGTGGGTTAAAAACACCAAAAAGATTGAC